AGCTTGAACAGTTTAGGAGGCCTCCAGGCAGTGGGACTGAGACCTGTCTTTGTTGTATGAGCTGGCTTTTTGGAACCTAGGGCCTATGCTAAGACACTTTGCTCAGCCTTGGTGCAGGGAGGAGAGGACTGGATATGCCTCAACTGAATCTATCAGGCTGGGCTGAATCCCCAGGGGAGACCTTGCCTTGGAGGAGGTGGGAATGGGGGGTGCTTTGGGGGGAAGGCTGGGGAGTGGGAGGAGGGAGGACAGGGGAATCCATGGCTGATATGTAGAATTAAATTAATTATAAAATAAAAAATATTTATAAAAAAGATGACTAGAAACAAGCCAAAATAAGGCCAAGCATTTTCAAGAAAGAATAAGTCTCCATGTGATTATTTGGAAGCTGGGTGGTAGGCCCCCAAAGAACTAAGAGCAAAGAACAAAGAGTAAAAAAAAAAGAACCAACTACAACCAGGAGCAGTTTTTCTGAAACCCTCTACATACCTCCTGTGGATATCTTGGATCATCACCCCTGGCCTCCCCTTCCTCAGCCTACAACACCAGCAAACATTTCCCATGAACACACCAGCCTAGCATACCAGAAAAGGCAGCAATCAGCCAGCACACTCTCTGAAAATTCAGAGAGGAAATTAAAACCAAGGAACAAAACACACTTCGACCAAGACAAACCCAGAAATCAGCATCTAGACCTATAATCATCCCAAACCCAGATACCTAGATACCAGCTTAAGAACATAGTCAATAACAGCCAGATCAACATGTCACCACCAGAGCCAAGTTGTCCTACAACAGCAAGTCCCGAATCTTCAAACATAGCTGAAGTACAAAGACTTTAAAACTAAGGCCTAGATTTTAAGGATGCTTTCTTCATGATTCCTTTATACTCAGATTCACACAATCTCTTTGCTTTCACCTAGAAAGATCCTGGCATTGGTACAGCATCCCAGCTTACTTGGACTGTCCTTCACCAGGGGTTCTGAGACAGTCCCTATTATTTGGCTAGACACTGGCCACTGATCTCTTCTCCCTAGACCTGTTCCCAGCTCCTTAATCTAATATGTAGATGAACTTCTACTCTGCAGCCTCTCATTCTTGCTGTCACAACAGTGTACTGTTCAGCTTCTTAACTTTCTAGGACACAAAGGATACATACTCCCCTCCAAAGCTCAACTTTCTGTCTCTCATGTCAAATACTCAGGCTTTCTGCTATCCACTAACAGCTGTGAACCCACTCTTAACTACAGATAGTACCTGTGGTCCCTCACACTTCTTTTTTTTTGGTAAAATTGCCATTTTTTAAAAATTTTATTTATTTTATTTTACAATACCATTCAGGTCTACATATCAGCCACAGGTTCCCCTATTCTCCCCCTTTCCACCCCGGTTCCTCACACTTCTAACCATCAAGGAGGAGATTCTCCCTTTCTTTGGCCTGGTGGGGTGCCTTAGAGCCTAGATTCCTAACTGTGCTCTTCTTTCTCACCCCCTATCTGAAGTAGTTAAGGGCCCTCTTACTGAGCCTCTAGATCTTACTAAGCTTGTCATGCATGCTTTCTCTTGCCTCAAAGATGCACTCCTACAGGCCCCTGCTCTGACTCCTCTTGACCTTGATCAACTCTTTATTCTGTATACTACTGAAAAATAGGGAATGCCTCAAGGGGTTTTGGAACAAATGAGAGGACCCACATTTGTCTTTGTGGCCTACATTTCCAGACAGCTATATATAACACTTTGGGGATGGGATCCTTCCTTATGGGCACTAGCAGCAGCCTTCCTACAGGCTCAGGAGGCTTCTAAGCTCACTTTTAGTCCTATCTTTTCACGACAGCAGCTAAAACAAACTGAAAGAAAAGAAAACCTACATGATCATCTCATTATATGCTGAAAAAGCCTTTGACAAAACCCAACACCCCTTCATGATAAAGGTCTTGGGAGAGATCAAGAATGCAAGGAACATACCTAAACATAATAAAGGCAATTTACAGCAAGTCAACAGCCAACATCAAATTAAGTGGAGAGAAACTCAAAGTGATTCCACTAAAATCAGGAACAAGACAAGGCTGTCCCTCCTCCCATATTTATTCAATATAGTACTTGAAGTTCTAGCCAGAGCAATAAGATAGCAAAAGGAGAACAAGGGGATACAAATTGAAAAGGAAGAAGTCAAACTTTCACTATTTGCAGATGATATGATATTGTACATCAGTGTCCCCAAAAATTTGACCAGGGAACTCCTACAGCTGATAAACACCTTCAGTAATGTGGCAGGATAAAAGATTAATTCAAAAAAATCAGTAGCTTACCTATATACAAATGATAAATGGCCTAAGAAAGAAATCAGAGAGGTAACATCCTTTATAATAGCCACAAATAACATAAAATATCTTGAGATAAATCGAAGCAAGCAAGTAAAAGACATGTATGACAAGAACTCTAAGTCTTTGAAGGAAAAATTGAAGATATCAGAAAATGGAATGATCTCCAATTACACTGAACTTGATAGAAGAGTAAGTGGGAAGCAGCCTTGACCACATTGGCACAGGACACTACTTCCTGAATATGAGACTAGTAGTACAGTCACTGAGAGCAACAATTAATAACAATTAATAAAAACTGAAAATCTTGTGTAAGGCAAAGAACATGTTCAATAAGACAAAATGGCATCCTACAGAATGGGAAAATATCTTCTTCAATCTCACATCTGTCAGGGGGCTGATCTCCAAAATATATAAAGAACTTACGAAACTAGACATCAAAACACCAAATAATCCAATTAAAAATGGGCTACAGATCTAAACAGAGAATTCTCAATAGAAGAATTTCATATGGTCAAAACACATTTAAAGAATTGCTTAACATCCTTAGCTATCTGGGAAATGCAAATCAAAACAACTCTGAGATACCAGTTTATACCTGTCAGAGTGGCTAAGATCAAAACCACTGATGACAGCTTATGTTGGAAAGCATGTGGAATAAGGAGAACAATCCTCCACTGCTGGTGGTAGTGCAAACTTCTACAGCCACTATGGAAGTCAATATGGCTGTTTCTCCGAAAATTGAGAATCAATGTACCTCAAGACCCAATGATACCACTGTTGGGCATATACCCAAGGAATGCTCAATCATACCACAAGGCAACTTGGTCATCTATGTTCATAGCAGCATCATTCCTAATAGCCATTACCTGGAAACAACCCAAATGCCCCTCAACCAAAGAATGGAAAAAGAAAATGTAATACACTTACACAATGGAGTATTACTCAGTGGTTAAAAAAAAACAATGTCATCATGAAATTTGAAGGCAAATGAATGGAACTGTAAAAAAAATCATCCTGAGTGAGGTAACTGATAATCAGAAACATAAACATATTCACTCATAGGTGGATAGTAGATGTAAAGCAAAGGATAACCAGGCTACAACGCACAGCCTTAGGGAAGCTAGGTTACAAGGAGAACACTAAAAGGGGTGCATGGATCACTCTGGGAAGAAGAAATAAATGAGACCTCCTGGGTAAACTGGGGGTGGAGGGGTAGAAAAAGGGGGTGAGGAATGTGAACATGAGAGATCAGGATAGTCAAGTTGGGGGAGGGCAACAAAAGAGATATCATGGTAGAGGCAGCCATTATGGGGTTAGGTAGAAACCTGGTGCCAGGAAAACTCCCAGGAATCCACAAGGATGACTCCAGCTATGACTCCTAGCAATAGTGGAGAAGATGCCTGAACTAGCCTTTTCCTGTAATCAGATTGGTGACTATCCTAATTGTCATGATAGAAACTTCATCCAGTAACTGATGGAAGCAAATACAGAGATCCACAGTCAAGCACTGGGCCGAGTTTCAGGATTCTAGTTGAACAGAAGGAGGAAGGATTTTTTTAAGCAAGTGGGGGTCAAGATCATGATAGAAAAACCCACAGAGAAAGTTGACCTGAGCTGTGGGAGCTCACAGACTCTAGATAGACAGCTAGGGAGCCTTCATGGGACCAACATAGGCCCTCTGTATGTGGGTGACATTTGTGTAGCCTGGTATGTTTTTGGGGTTCCTAGCAGTGGGACCAGGCTCTGTCCCTAGCACATGAACTGGCTTTTTGGAACTTATTCCATATGGTGGGATGCCCTGCTCAGCCTTGATGCAGAGGGGAACAGCTTGGTCCTCCTCAACTTGGTATGCCATACTTTGTTGAATATTATGGGATCCCTTATCATTTATGAGGAGAGGATGGGGAGTGTAGAAAAGAGGTTGGGGAGAAAACTGGAGAAAAGAAGGGAGGGGAAACTGTTTGGTATGTAAAATAAACAAAAAAATTAATAAGAAAAAATGAAAAAACCAGAAAAATGAACAGTAGCACCTAGTTCTATGACTTAATCAGTACTATTCTTGCTTCTTCTTTGTCTCGAATCCAAGTTCCTATTAATATTCAAGTAGACTATTCCCTATGATACCTATGGAACACTTCAAGACAAACTACTTTCTTGTCCATGCAAATGTTAAAATAAGCTTACAGAATGATTGAGGACCAGAGGGTTGTAAATGGTTATGTGGTCCCAGTCTACACTGTAGTTCTTAACCTTATACCATGTTTACAAAAATGAATAGAAACACTTAATTTTGTAACTTAATCAGTACTACTTTTGCTTCTTCTCTATGTCTAATCTATGCTCCTATTAATATTGAAGTAGAAGGATCTCCCTATTCAGAACACTTAATTGATCATCTAGGCTATCTGACCTGAAGATTTCACAAAATATCCCAACATTTTCACACAGAACTTAAGGAAAGGCCCACAGTCCTTCAAATATGACACCAGGAAGTGACTTATCACAATATTTGATCTATAGAACTGATGTAAATGTGATGTGTTAAAACTTTATTATGCATCTTATTTTCTTCATTTCACATGGAGAAACTTTATATTTTAACACAACATTTAATGAGTAGAAAGCAACTTTGTAATCTTTTGGATTTGTTTGAAGTTGAACATAAGCTAGAAAAATTTAATGAATATATTCAGCTTTAGCATTTGTGACTCTGAACTTGTGAAAAGAATTTATCTTTGGTCTTAACAAAATAATGTAGCATTTTGGGTCAAAAATGCAAAGAAATAGCCCTGCACTTGACGCTAAGATAGAGAAGACCTCCACAGCCACCAGAGCCTTGCCTTTGGTGCTTTGGTAGACAGCTAGAAAGGTGACCCAAACACTGCAGAACACGAGCATGCTGAATGTCAGGAACTTAGTTTCATTGAATGTGTCAGGCAGATTTTTGGCCAGGAAAGCTATAGTGAAACTTGCCAGAGCAAGGGAGCCCAAGTATCCCAGGACACAGTAGAAGGAAATCACTGAACCTTTGTTGCAAACAATGATGATGTGGCCATGTTCCATGTGTACATCAGCATCAACAAATGGAGGAGAAGTTCCTATCCAGATTCCACAGAGAAGCATTTGAATCATAGTGCACACGGGGATGATGAAGTTAGGTGCCCCTGAAACCAGCAGTGACCTCATTCTTTTATCTGGAACAGTAACTTTGAATGCCAATACTACAGTAATAGTCTTTGCCAAGACAGTAGAGGTGGCCACAGTGAAGACAATTGCAAATGTGGTCTGCTGCATTATACAGGTGATTGTATGTGGATGGCCGATGTAGAGCAAGGGACAGAGAAAGCAAAAGATGAGGGAGATGAGTAGGACATAGCTGAGAGCTCTGTTATTGGCCTTGACAATGGGAGTGTCTTGGTGCTTCAAGAAGACACAGAATACAACAGCTGTGAGAGCAGAGAAGCACAGAGCCAAGCAGACTAGAGATATTCCCAAAGGATCTTCATAAGCCAGAAAGGTCACAACTTTTTTGAGGCAGTGGGTTTGATATGTGTTGGCATACTGACCATATGGACACTTCACACATTCATCCATGTCTAGTATAGGAAAGATATTATTATCAGTTTTAATTTTTCTTTATTTGTTTGTACAAGATATGCAAAATATTAATGCATTGGAAAGTTATATCTAAATTAGCCTTACCACTTGTGGTTTATGGAAATCTAAATATGGTTGATTCATGGGGTTTAATCCCAATTTCCAAAGCTTATCATTTTTATGAAAGCCCTTGTTCATATTTATCTTGCATACTCATGAATTTCCTAGTGTTTTAAAAAATAATAATGCACTCTCACATAATATTTATATTTATGCAACAACATACATTGGATTGGATTATTCATGAAAGCACACTTTTGTTATTCATGATTTGTGTAGTATGCAAAACAGGAACTTAGAGTGAGCTGCTTCCATGCATCTTATGGTCTATCAGCCACAAATTTGGTCCCACATTAATGGCCTCATGTGGCTTCCTGGCCATACAAACTCAACCCACTTTATGTCTTTGAAAAGAACCTACAACAAACACTTTACTTAAGCAGTTTAATCCCTATGTCATCCTAAATATTTGTCCTTATACACATAAATAAGTATAGTCCTTACTCCTCATCAGGGAAACTTATTTTGGAACAGACAGAGACCATTAGGGAAAAACACAACCAATGAAAATTTAGAGTTATGGAGTCTAGTCCAATGGATACATCTACAATACTACTCTGTCACTTAAGGATCATGGGAAATTGTATGAAACTGGTTAGAAAGCTTACAAGAGCCATTTCACAGAGTTTGATGTGAGTCGGTGTTTCCTAGGAGCATCACAAGCAACATCCACAATGTCTCACCAATATGCCTGCTAAAACATGAGCTGAATAAGCACAAAAACAATAGACATGACAAAGATGGTAGGAGAAAGACCATCAGATAACGGCTCTATGCAGAGAGCTACAGTTGAGAAATATTGAAAATGGAATAGGTTGTCTTCTTTAGCCAAAGATATCATCAACTGATTATCTTTGAATAACAAAATGGTCAGCCCTGAAAACCTAAGAGTTATATTACACATACTGAACAGGCTGTATATATATACACATATAAAATATTTTATGTAACATCAATTAATAAGAAAATAGGCCATGAGTTTTAAAGAAAGGGAGAAGGCATGTATGGGAGTTTTTGAGGAAGGATAGGGAAAGGAATATTATGTAATTGCATTATAATCTCAAAAATAAAAGAAGCAAACAAAAGCATTGATAATATCAAAGAAGGCAGAGACAACATGAACAAATTGCCACCTAAATTATCTGCATGTCAAAATCATCATCTTTGGCTCATGTTTCAATGTATGAATTTTGGAAGGGTATATTTTTTGCCAGTTTTACTAATTTCTGTAAGATTCGACTGCCCAAGTCTCATGACTGTTTAGTTTTTATTGAGAAACATCATGATGAAGGTAATGTTCCATATATAAAGGACATATTTTGAAAGACAGCACTGGATGGGGCTGAGGACATCCTTCCACCCATAAGTTTGTAATTTACACTGCAGTGCATTCAGTTTTCTTTCAGTTGCCCTGAGCCAACAGGTCATACTGAGCAGTGATGGTGCCACCCAGTACTCAGTCTCTTCATTGAAAGGTGAACATTCTTTTTCAGTTGTTACACTCTCTTGGATTTTGATGAACAATGTTATTTAAACTAGCAAATCTAAGTATTCAAATACTTGAACTTTTTCTTTCCAATTCAAAATTATTATGTGTTATAAAATAATGTATTTTAAAGCTTTAAGAAATACACATAGGATCAAGGGGAATTTAATCTAACTCTGTTTAGTATCCTTGTATTGGACCAACACAAAAGTCAATAAACAAATTTTTAATTGAATTTGATGTATAGTATATAGAATCATTTGAATAGATATACTTTTATTAATTTCTTTTCATTGTCTTATTTTATTCAAGTGGTTTATCTTCTTGAATTTTTCATTGGTTTCTGAAATCAAATATGTTAATATTCAGTGTAATTTTTAAAATATGTACTTCATCTTCACAATCTTTGTGTCCAAATCATATGAAACCATATACATTTTGGTCTTATTCTTAAATAAAACTTTGAGTTAATTATTTAGCTGTTTTTCATGACTCCAACCACAATTCATTCCCTCCTTCAGTTACCCCATATACTAATAGTAACATAATTTCCAGTATTTCTATGAAATTCAATATAGATACCACCACATATTGAATTAAAAAACCCTCCATTCATATTTCTTATGATATTAGAATAAAAGATTTAATTCAGAGTTTAATATGTTGGCCTCCTAACTCATCTGTGACCTAGAATACTACTTAAAATGAAATCTACTGATGATTGTATTGATCTACCATAGCACACAATACAAAAACACGTTTCTAAAACATGACACAACACTACCGAGTGTCCACTTCTTGTTAGAGACACTGGGGGACTCTTGGAAAATATGGTTGCTGTGGTAATTTGAGTGTGATTAGTCTCTGTAATATCATGAAGAGTGGCACTTTTGGGAAGTGTGGCTTTGTTTTTTGGATCAGGCGTGGCCTCATTGGAGGAAGTATGTCTCCTTTGATCAGGTTCAGTGTGATATCCAGTTCACTTCCTGCTGCCTTTTGATCAAGATGTAGAATTCTCAGTTCCTTGTCCAGTACCATATCCTTATCTAACACCAAGTCTACCTGAATGCCACCATGTCCAACCAGGATGATAATCGACTAAACCTCTGAACTGTAAGCCACTCCAATTAAATGTTTTCTTTTACAGGATTTTCCATAGTCATAGTGTCTCTTCATAGCAATAAAAACCCTACGTAAGACAGAAGTTAGTCTCAGAGACTGAGGTATTGATGTGATAGGCCTGACCATACTTATCTTTGAAGAAATATAGACTGTAGATTAGAAAAGCAGTAGAATGCTTTAAGTGCTGCTTAATGGACAGCATGGAAGACAATGGTGACGAGTGTCATTTGATGAACTGTGGCAGCCTGCCTCAAAGGGTTTCAAAGAAGAAGAATGTTAAATAGGGCCTAGAGATAATTTTTTGTGATTTTTTTTGGTGAAGTCTGTGACATTTTGCCCTTGTCTCAAGAGTCTGCCTGAGGCTAAAGTGCAGAGTTTTGGATTACTTCTTTTGGCAGAAGAAATCTCAACACATACCAAATTGAGAAAATAGTACAAAAAGTCCCACAAAACTGCCACGTGTGGTTATCAGTGTTAACTCTACTGAAGATGTGTAATGAAAAGGAGCAGCTGAGCAAGGTGAAATACAAAATGTACTCCATTAGCAAAAGGTTAATACATATCTGAGTTTTAGGTCAGCCTGGTCTACAGATTCAGTTTCAGGATAGCCAAGCTCAGGCTGTGAAGGATACCACTGAAAATAGAAAACTGGTGAAGATGTAACTGAACAAGGGGATCATGCTCCAGCCCCAGCAAGTAGCAGAACTCGGCAGCTTTGGCAATGTGATTCTGGTTTTAAGGATTGAAGAAAGGGATTATGGAAACTTCCTCAATGATTAAGGACTGTTGCTGAGGCCAGGCATGTGTCAGGGCTGTCCCTGAATGGGACATACAGAGATGCCCCTGTTTGAACCTCTGAAGGTGAAGTCTGGATTGCTTTGGAAACCCCAAGATGTCAGAGATGCCAGAACCTTCTGAGGAGAGCTGCTAACAGGTACTGGAACCAGCCCAAGAGAGAGAAGTGTGTGGCTGTCAACAAAGCTGAAAGGAGTTGGGGTTCTGAAGAGTGTTTTGACATTAGACATGGAAATACTGAATTTGGAACTTCCCCAGCTGGTTTTTGGTTTTGTGTTGGTCAAGTATTTCACTATGCTCCCTTCCCTATATTTTAAAATGGCAATGTAAATCCTGTGCTATTGTATGTTGGAAGTATGTGATTTTTTTCATTTTTTAAATAAGAAAATTTCTACTCACCATTCATACCACCCACAGATCGCACCTGCTTCCTCCTCCCACCCCTCAGACCTCCCTCCCAAGCCACCCCCTATCCCCACATCCTCCAAATCAAGGTCTCCCATGGAGAGTCAGCAGAGCCCAGCACCCTCAGTGGAGGCAGGTCCAAGCCCCTCACCGCTGCACCAAGGCTGCCCAAGGTGCCATCCCGCAGGCACTCGGCTCCCAAAAGCCTGCCCATGCACCAGGGTTCAATCCCAATCTCCTTGCCCAGGTGTCTCCCAAATAGTTTGGCCTAAACAACTGTCTCCCATATCCAGAGGGCCATGTCCAGTCCTATGGGGTTCCACAGCTACTAGTCCACAGTTTATGGGTCTCCACCATTGTGGCTGGTCATCTCTGCATGTCTTCCTATCATGATCTTGACGTCCCCCAACCATAGAATCCCTCCTCTCTCCCATCGACTGGATTCCTGGAGCTTAGCTTGGTCCTTGGCTGTGAATCCCTATATCTACCTCCAATAGTCACTGGATAAAAGCTCTATGATGACAGTTAGGGTATTCACTAGACCAGTCATCAAAGTAGACCAGTCCAGGCAACCTCTCGATCAGTGCCAGCAGTCCAAGGTGGGGTCATCCCTGTGGATTCCTGAGAGCTTCCCCAGAACCCTGCCTCTTCCCACTCCCATGGTGTCTTCATTTATCACAGTATCTCCTTCCCTGTTCTCCCACTCCATCTCGACCCTCCCATTTCCATGTTATCACCATCCATTCCTTGCCTTCTGCCACCTCCTCAACCCCCAGCCTGCTAATGCAGATTATTATAGGGGATTATAGTTAAGAGATGGCATGAATCTCAGAAGAGACTTTGTACTTTTAAACATAGTTGAGACTGTGATCGATCGTGAGGATTTATGAAGTTGGACTAAATGCATTTTGCATTATAATATTGTTAGAAGCTTATGGAGGCCAGAGGGTAGAATGTGGTAGTTTGAATTTATATGGGCCCCATAATCTCATAGGGAGTAGCATTATTAGGAGGTGTGGCTTTGTTGGATTGGTGGGTCCTTGTTGGAGGAAGTGTGCCACTGTGGGGGGTGAGCTTTGAAGGTCTCGTTTGTCAGGCCCAGTATGATACCCAGTTCATTTTCTGTTGCCTTTGGATCAAGATGCAAAATTCCCAGATCTTTCTCCAGCACCACCATGTCTGCCTAATGCCACTATGTCCCACCATGGTCATATTGGACTAAACTCCTCAACTGTAAGTCACCCCAATTAAATGTTTTCCTTTATAAGAGTTGCCATGGTCATGGTATCTCTTTACAGCATTACAAACCGTAACTAAGACAGAAGCATAGCATTCATATTTTTAATATAATTGAAAAGTAGATACAATTTATTATAACATGTTGAATTCTAAAATATAGATTAGATGCAGAGGAAATATTAAGTATCCCAAGGAAACATCTAAGAGAAAATACTACATTCACATGTTCTGGAATGATGAAACCATAGTGTCATTCATGAACAAGACAGTATATTATTTCAAATAGTAGGGTTATTAACTCTTTCAAGTTTTTTTATTATTATTATTATTATTATTATTATTTTACAACACCATTCAGTTCAACATAATAGCCACAGAATCCCCTGTTCTCCCCCTCTCGCCCACCCCTCCCCCCAGCCCACCCCCCATTCCCACCTCCTCCAGATCAAGGTCTCCCCCGAGGACCGGGGTCGACCTGGTAGACTCAGTCCAGGCAGGTCCA